AGCTGGCATTGGATGATCCAGTGCCAGCAGCTGTGGGGGTGAACTTTTGTTTTGCCCCAGAAGCGCTTGAAAGGACTTAAAGGAGTTTTGGGGGCTTATTTGGAAGCTGTAGATTTGAGGGGGGAGGAAGCTCATCCTGTCAGAGCATGCCACGGCTCCACGAAGTTGCTCGGGTTGTTTTACCGTTGTGAAAGGTGAGGATGGGTCCAGGGTGGAAATGATACGTCCAGGGTGGAAATGCTATAGCCAGGGGTGGAAATCCTATAGCCAAGGGAGAAATCCTATAGCCAGGGGAAGGAAATCCTATATCTAGGAAAGAAAGCCTATATTCAAGGGAGAAATCCTATATATGCAGAGGTGGGGGAGAACAACCTATATCCAGGGGAGAAACCCTATATACAGGTAGGAGAAACCTATATCCAGGGGAGAAATACTATATCTGGAGAAGGGAATCCTATAGTCAAGGGAGAAAACCTATACATGGAGGGGTATATCCTATATCCAGGCAAGAAATCCTATATCCAAGGGAGAAATCCTATATTAGGAGACAGGAAATCCTATATCCAGGGAAGAAATACCATATACAGGTGGAGGAAATCTATATATGTGGGGGCATTTCCTCTATCCAGGGGATAAATCCTATATTCAGGGAAGAAATCCTACATACAGGTGGCAGAAACCTATATCCAAGTTGAGAAATCATGTATATAGGTAGGAAAAACATCTTTTCAGGAGAAAAAAAATCCTATATCCAGGGGAGACATCCTATATTCAGGGGAGAAAACCCATAAACAGGGGCCATATCCTATATCGACAGGAGAAATCCTATATCCAATGGAAAAACACCATATCCGTGGGGTGAAAACCTCTATGCAGCTTATTAAAACTTGTATCTAGGGGAGAAATTCTATATTCAGAAGAAATCCTATATATGAGGGGAAAAGTCCTATACATAGGCGAGAAATCCTATATCCAGGCAGGATAAATCCTATATCCATCCAGGGTGGGCTTTGCCTCTCTGGAGGTGCCCAAGAAGAAAGATGGGGGCTTTTTCCTGTGCTGCTGTCTTAGCAAGAGGGGGAAAATGGGGGAAAAAAGTGGGGAAAGGGAAAAAAAAAGAGAAAGAGGGGGGGAAGGGGGAAAAGGCAGGAAAAGTCAGAGGATCAGGGAGAAAGGGGAAAAGGATATGGGTTTTTCCCTAAGCCGGCTGGTAGCCAGGAGGGAGGGGAGCTCACCCTCGGGTGAGGAGAGAGGGGTGCAACCCCAATGAAGCCCTTTATCCATACGCAACCCCGATCCCACCTGTAGAGCAATTGTGGGATGGGGGGAAGAAAAAGCCAAATAAAAGCTGGATTCGAGGACAGGGGTTTTTCCTCAGTGGGCTGCGGGGTGCAGGATGCTGGCCGTGCTGTGGCCCCGCTGGGATGGATTCCGAAGTGGGGATTTGGGGGGGCTGGGGGGGGAAGAAGGGCCCGGGGGGCTGCAGCAGCGCTGGCGGGGTCGCGGACCCAGGTGAGCTCCTGGTGGGTGCAGCACCCCCCGCCCCCACCACCCCGGAGCCCCCGGCCGCCCCCAGCCCGGAGCAGCAATAATGGATGAAAAGCAGGAGCTGGGGGGATCGGAGGAAGGGGGACCTACATTGCAGCAGTCCATGGCGGAGGGCGGGTGGGCGGCCAGCGGCGGGCGAGGGGCTCCGGCAGGATCTCGCTTCCCCGGCAGCTCTCCCGGCGCAGGTGGCAAGTTGAGCGGAGCCGCTTGCCTACGTAATGCGCTTTCCTCCGGGCGAGCCTATCAGCCCGACACCCCTGCCAGGCTTTTGGGGGGGAAGGAGGGGTGCCTTATTTTTTTTTTCCTCCCTTTCTCCTGTTTCTTTTTTTTTTTTTTTTTTTAATTTTTTTTTTTTATTTTCCCTCCTCCAATTTTATTTCGCAGCCTCCAACTCCCTCCTAACACTTAAAGGAGCCGGCAGCTCGCCTTGGAGTTTTGTGGAACACAACATCACATGCAGAGGATGAGAGCCAAGATGTGATGAGCCTTGCCTTTGGCATGGAGGGTTTTTTGGGAGGCAAAGCTTCAGCAAATGGGGTTAATGGGTTCATTTTGGGGGGGTAAATGACCCACAGTGATGCTGGAGGCAGGTTTTGCCCCCTGGGTTGGTTTGCACGGGGGGGAAAAAACCTTCTTGACCTACTTAGGACTTGGTCCTGAAGAAGGGTGAGGATGAGGGTGGCAAGGATGAAGATGATGAGGAAGAGTGGGCATGGTGGGACACAGCATCCCACCAAGCACCCGCAGAACCCCGGGGTTGATGTGCCCAGCTCCAGGCTCCAAGCAGAGGAGTGGGCTCCACTTTGGGAGCCTGGGGGTCCCTTCCCCACTCACAGAAGCACTTGAGCCCCCAACATTTGGGATGTTCTCCAACCAGACCTGCAGTCCCAGCCACTTTCACAGCCTTTGGCGCTCCTTGCAGACCCTGCTGCCGCCCCTGGACTGTGCTGAGGTGCTGGGACTGCCAGGGTGAGCTGGGGCACCCCGGGAATCAGGAGGGACCCCCAGGGCAGTGCGGGGGGCTGCAGCCCACAGCCCCCCCATCGCCTGCCTCGCTCGCCTCTAATCCGGGTTTGGGAGTTGCTAAGCAACTGCATAAATCGCCCGTGGGCTCCGCGCCGATGCTGCTCCAGCCAGCCCCCAAAACACAGCGTGGCCCCCCCAGGGTGGGCACCAGCACCCCCCGATCCACCTGCACACTCGGGCCCCACTGGCTCTCCCTGGCCAAGTTTGCTCTCAAGGGTCATCTGCTTGGGGGCCTGGTGGCACTGACCTTCCTCTTTGACACCACCACCATCATCATCATCATCATCATCATCATCATCCCTGTTAGCATCCCTGTCCCACTGACATCACTGTTTCTGGCACTGGAACGGGCAGTGTCCCCACTGCTGCCACCAGCCCTGTCCCCGTCCCTGACTTCATCCCCGTCACCTCCACCATCTTCTCCATCCCTACCACTGTCCCTGTCCCCATCTCTATCATATCCCTGTCATGACTTCCATTCCACTTCTTGCCCCCATCCTCTTCATAATGCCAATCCCTGTCCCCATTCCCAGCTTCAACCTCATCTCTGTCCCTCTCCCTGTCCCCATCCCCATCATCACCCTCATCCCTGGCCCTGTTCCCTGCCATATCACCATCCTTGTTCCCATTCCCATCCCATCTCCATCTCCTTCTCCAAGGCCGCTCCTGCTGGGCGCAGGTGGGGGCACCTCTTGTCCCCTGACACCCCACTCCCCATCCCAGGCACATCCCACCACCTGCCACCTCCCTCAACTGCTTCACCCACACTTGGAGATTGATGTGGGTCACCCCTGCCCCAGCACCATCCAGGCACCCAAATTCCCCCTTGGGAAATGCTCCCAAGCATCCCTCAAATTCCCCGGAGCCACTTTTCCATCATCACTTCTTCCCACCAGCACACCAGGGTGGGGGGGGTGGGGATGGGAATAGCTCTGCTCCAGAAAACCCCGCTCCAGCTTCCCGGAGAAGCCTTGGCAGCTCTGCTGGGATTTTTGATGGGAAAAGATCCTTTTCCCTGGATTTTAGACCCTCCAGATCCATCACTGCCTGCTTCAAAGAGAGAAGACGGGGTGTTTTGGGCCAGTTAAGTGGGAAGGGTTTTTGGGGTGACTCATCTGTCATGGATCTGAGAAGTTAGCCCCAAAATTAGGATTAGTCCCTCAATTAGCCCCCAAAATCTGCTCCATCCGTGGCACCCGGGTCCTGGCAGAGCCGCCAAGCGCCGCCGTCTCCCGCAGGCTGTGGCTGCGGAGGAGGGACGCGAAATGCCAGAACATTTCTAATCATTAATGGCGGGTTTTGAGCCTGTTCCAGGCTCTGCATTTTTCCTCTTTGGACCCCTTCATCTGGATGATGCTTTTTCAGGTGCTCCAGCACCTCCAAAACTTGAATTCCAAGGAAACAACTCAGATTTTGGGAGGGGAGAACGGGAAGTGCAGCTGGCGAGACCTGCTGAGAACATCCCGCCGTCGTGATTTGAGATGGTGGCACCGAGGTGCTAAAAAATCCTTTAAAAAAGGGGGAAAAAATCCTTAAAAGAAAAGGGAATTGGATGCTGGAATGATGCCCTGGGCGGGCAGTGTTGCCGGCTGCCGAAGCAGGAGCCGGCAGCCGGTGAGGCGGTGCTGGAAGGGGGGGTCAAGACGTAGCTGGTTGGCATCAGCCCCGGCACGGGGTCCCCGCCAGCTTTTTTTCCCCCATCCCTCCTTCCTGTTTTTCCCGGGGGAGCCGCTGTCATGCCCCGTGCCGTGGGCGAGCACCACATATGGCGATGGAAAACAGGAAAGAGGGGGTAAAAACGGGGTGAGCATGGATGGGGGGGTTCAGGCCTCTCCAAAAATAGAGCAGCCGGCTTCGACGCAAACCCCACGTTTTGGGGGGGATTTTGAAACCACTCTGTGTGGGAAAATATGAATTTCACAGGTAGGAATAGGACTGGCGAGCCCTTGCGTGCACCCCAAAATTTCATTGAGGTATCTCAGCTTATGGAGGGGGGTAGAAGAGGAGCAATGTCACATCATTCCTTCATGCTGGGATGTTATGAAGTTTCTTCCAACCTCCAGGGATGCAGGGGCCTAAATATACAGGCTAAAAATATCATCCCGTGCTCAGCTCAGCCCCAAACCCAGGATTTTTCGGGGAGAAATCTCAGGTGATCGGCACTAATAACGGCAGGGACCTCGTTAATAAAATTCCTAATTAAAACAGTACCGCAGGGGCGGAATGGGAGTGCAGCACCGACCCACGGGAAAAGGGCAGGAGCCAAAGGAGGACCAACGGGGTTTTTTTAGTTTTGGGGTTGGACAGTGAGAAATGGGGGATTTGGGGCAAGTGCTGCGATTGCATCTCCAGAGACATGTCCCAGTTCATGAGGGTTACGGGGACATGCTCCCCTTTGGCTCCTCTCCACGCATTTTGGGGCGGAATCACAGTGATCTGGAGCTGTGCGTGCTGCCTGCTCCCCCTGGTGCTGCCTGCTGCCCCTCAGTGTCCTTGGCCTCCTTCAGGTCCCAGAGGAAAGAAGAAAATTTAGACGATGTGGCACAAGGCGGGCAGGGACAGCGTGGGAGCAGGGACACAGTGCAGCTCTTGGCACCTCAGATTCTCTGGAGGGGCCTGGAGTGGAGGGCAGCCTACCTGGGAAGGGGGCCAGGTGAGACGGTCGTCCTCCAGCATGGCTCCCCACGCCACCGGGTCAATGCCACCAGCTGGGGAAGGAGGAGGCTTGATGCCACATGCAATGGGCACCGGGTACCATGGGTGGTGGGCACATGGGACAGGCACAACATCCCTGGTGATGGCGCAAACCGAAGGCCTGATTGCCATAGGTGGTGGACATCTGGGACAGGCACAAGGCCATGGGCAATGAGCACAAGGGACATGTTTGGTGCCCTGGGTGAGAGGCACATAGGAGAGGCCTGATGCTGTACATGGTGGGCACATGGGGCAGGACAGACACCCTGGGCAAGGGACATGTGGGGCAGGACTGACGCCCTGGTGATGGGCAGATGCAGAAGGCAGGGTAGATAATGCAGCCTGCCCGGGGAGGCAGGGGATGGCAGTGTGGGGGTGGGTGCTGGGCAAGGCCACTCACCCTCTCTCTGCTCCAGCAGCTTTTGGAAGTGCTGAGCTGCAAAGGCCACCACGTTGGTAGGCTGCTCCCGCAGCACTTCCCGTGCCAGCCCCTCCAGCAGGTTCCGGAAGCCGGCGGGCACCCTCATGGTGGTGTTGGAGGAGGCGATGGACATGGCCGCTTCTCCCTGACCCACTGCAGCGGCAGAGCCCGAGATTAACCGCAGCCCACAGTCCCCGGTGCCACCGGGCAGCGCCGGGACTCGAACCCGCGGGCAAACGCCTGAGGGGGCCAGAGCCGCCGCTAGGGGGCGACACTCTCCCCGGCCGCCGCGTGCGCGCGCGACCGTCTCTCGCTGCGCGCGCGGCCCCGGCCCGGGCGGGGAGAGCGGGGTCGGGGGGGCCGCAGTTCCCCCCGCGGTGTGCCCCGGCTCCCTGCCCCGGTGTGCCCCGGCTTCCTCCACAGCAGCCCCGCAACCCTCGGCCCCGCGCTCCCGCCTTTCCCCTCGGCCTCTCCCGTCAGACCCGGACCGGGCCGCGCCGGCGCCTCAGGCCGTGCTGCGGACGCCGTCGCTAGGCAACCGCCCCACCACGGGCGGTGCGTGCTCAGACCACGCCCCCTCGCGCTGGGCCCGCCTGCGGGGCGGGGCTACCGGGGGCACCGGAGGGTACCGGGGGTATCGGGGTACTGGAGAGTACCGGGGTTATCGGGGGCACCGGAGGGTACCGGGGTTACCGGAAGGTACTGGAAGTACCGGGGTACCGGAGGGTACCGGGAGGCACCGGAGGGTACTGGGAACGGTACCGAGGGGTACCGGGGAGTAGCGGCGGTCCCGAAGCCCTCGCAGCCCGTTGTGGCCCCAGGATGGCGGCGTGGGCGCTGCTGGCGCTGCTGGCTCTGGCTCCGGCGGCGGCAGGTAAAGGGCCGGGGAGGGCCAACCTCCGAGCCAGCCCCGCGGGCACCCTCTGCAGCCAGGCCCGGCAGCGGGGCCTGCCCTGGGCGGACCCACTCGGGGCACTTGGCATCACAGCAGCCCGGCCCCGATGCCCAAGGAATTCCCTGAGCCCTCCCGAGCCCTGATTTTGTGCCCTTTGCACGCTCCGAGCCTCCTATGTGCCTTGGCACTTCCCCAAGCCCGCTTTCCGGGTGCACCTCTTGGCACCTCCCGTAAACCCCCCAGCCCCGCTTTGATACCTCTTGTACCCCAGACCCTCTTTGATGATGTTGGCACTACTCTGAGCCCCACTTTGGGGCCCTTGGTGCCCTCCCAGCCCCACTTTGATGCCTTTGGCATTCCCTTTAGCCCAGTTTTGATGCCTTTGTTACCCCCCACCCATCTTCCACACTTTTTGCGCCCCAAGCTCTGCTTCTATGCCCTCTGCACTCCCAGAGCCCCAGTTTGATGCTCTCTGCACACCCTGAGTCCCACTTTGGTACCCGTGGCATCTCCCCAAGCCCCAGTTCAATGCCCTTCACATTCTCTGAGTCCCACTTTGAGACCCTTCACACCCCTAGCCCCTCCCCAACACCCTTGGCCCGGCAGTGCTGCCGTGGGATGATGCTTTACGTAAGGTGGGAGCTGCATGCAGCTCCTTGGTGGTGTCTCGTGGGCTCTCCTCCCTTCCCTCCTCCCTTCTTCTTCCCTTCCCTCCTCCCAGCTGCTTTTTATAGCCTCCACTCTTCCCTGGCGTCTCAGTTTTAATTTTTTTTTTCTCCTCCGACTTGTTTTTTATATAACTCCCAGAGCCTCGTGGCATGAGGCAGTGGGACCAGCGATGCAGCTGACTCCTGAGGGGCCAAGGATGTTGTTCCTTTTTCCTTTTTCCTTTTTCCTTTTTCCTTCTCCTTTCCTTTCCAAAACCCAGCCTAGGCTGAGGTGCAGAGGAGATGAGGTTCCACGAGCTCTGATTTGGTCACTGGGGTTCTCTGCCCAGATCACCCCTCACACATTGCTCCTGACCCCCTTTACAAACATTATTTTCTTTTCACACTGCAAAAATGAGACTTTTGGAGTTGCCAGGGCTGAGCCTTCTGCTTCTGTCCCCACTGAAGGTGCCTTTGCCAATGCTGCACACCTGATGTTTTCCATCCCACCCCTTGACAAACATTTTTCCAAGGGAAAAAATATATCAGAATATTCATTAGCAAGGCTGGGCTGGGAAAGACACTCCCATGCTGCTATTAGAGGAATTTATACCAAAATCTCTATCCAAATCCGTGTAATACAAGATGTAACATGCTCCCTGTGCTTTGGGAGGTGAATTCCCTCCTGTGGACTTTAAATTCTCCCTCTTCCTCAGCTCTGTGATGATTTTCACCACCTTAAAGCTGACCAGGAAGCTGTAAATTAAGTGGGATCTCATTATCTGTATTTAAGAGGGGGTCAGAGGCCATGCTGAGGGTATTTTTCTATCGGAGCTGATGTTTGCACTGATTCCAGGGGGATTGCTCAGCTTTGCCTCCTACTATGGTGACCACATGGTGCTGCAGAAGAAGCCGTCAGGGGCTGTGGTGTGGGGCCACGGGAAGCTGGGGGCCGTGGTGACCGTCACTCTCTCAGGGGCCAGTGGCCTTGTCATCATGGAGAAAACAGCACAGGTTAAAGGTCAGTCCCAGACTTTGACTAGAAACCGGGGCCAGTGGTTTTGGTGGCCAAAGAACTTGCCTGAGCCAAAATCAGAACTCTCAGGGGTGAGACAGGGTTTGGCACTACCCCTGTGTTTGTCACACTGCTGCCCTGGGGCTGCAGAGGTGCTGGTGACATCTCCAGCTCGTGCTTTTCCCTCTCCAGGAGACCTGGGGTGGTTCAACCATTCCCCTCCCCAGCAGTGCCAGCCTTTGCTCACTTTGGTTCCCAGCAGCAGATCCCGTGGGCGCACAGCGGGAGCCGAGCTGCTGCTGGAGTGGGTGGCACCACACAGGCTGGAGCCGAGCGATGAGGCTGTGGAGGGGAGAAGAGGAATTTAGCTTCTCTCCCTGTCTAAACCAGAATCACCAGAGCACTCCCAGCTTCTTTTTCAATCTGTGCCCCCTTGGAGGATCCTATGGGATCTGTAAGCCCTGAAGGATGTTTTCTATGCAAGCAGGGCCTTCCTGGAGCTGGGAGGGCTCAGGGGCCCCTCAGATCCCAGCTACATCCCTGCCTGAAGAGTTGGGAGGGAGCTCATCACCTTTGGAGGGTAAAAGTGCTGCCCTAGGGCACCTCCATAAGATGAAGAGCCTGGAGGTGTCTTGTGGGAGAGCAGTGATCCTGGAGATCTGCAGGATCCAGCCAGAAAATCCACGCTAAGCTCCAGCAGAATATCTTTACGCTTCGATTTGGCGCCTCTAAAATTAGCCAGAGACATCTCAGTGTCACACACAACAAGCTGCTCCTGTAATCCCAGTTCCTCCCAGCAGCTTCTGCTCTGACACACATTTGTTTTCAAGGTTTTATTTTTTAACCCCTAAATTCCTGCAGGAGAAAGGTCCCTCTGATGCCAGAGAGCTTCTGAAATCCCTTTCCCCAACCTGTCTCTGTGGTGGGGAAGCTTTTTCCTGTTGCTTGTCCTTCCCCACTGGTTGGTTGCTGCTCATCCAACATCCTGGTGAAGGTCTTGAGGCCTTCATAAGGGTGGTTGGAGATAAGCACCATCCTCTCTCTTCCTCCAGGACCATCTGGGACTTGGACAGCTCTCCTGGACCCAATGGATCAGGGCGGTCCCTATGCACTGACAGCTGAGCAGGGCTTGGAGAATGTGACACTGCGGGACATCTACTTTGGAGATGTGTGGCTTTGCAGTGGACAGAGCAACATGGCAATGACAGTCCTGCAGGTAGGGCCCCACAGCACAGATCAGCTGGGACCAGGTAGGAATCAGGCAGGGAAGTGCTTTGCATGCTCCTGGCCCTTCCTCAGGTGGCCAATGCCAGCCAGGAGCTCGCCGCTGCTGCTCGCTATCCCTATGTCCGTATCTTTGCTGCGGCACCTGCCCGCTCCGACGTGGAGCTGGAGGACCTGGAGCAGGTTGACTTGCCATGGTCCATTCCAACAGCTGGTGAGTGCAATGTGCCACCAAAAGAGAGCTTGGAAATGGCTTTTTCCCACTGTTTCCCTTTGCAGCCTGCTGTTTCTTGAGCAGAAAACCTGGGCCACGGGAATTTCACCTACTTCTCGGCCGTGTGCTGGCTGCTGGGGCGTTCCCTGTATGAGGCTCTGGGGTCCCCCATCGGGCTGGTGGAGGTAGCCTGGGGGGGGACCCCCATCGAGGCCTGGTCCTCCCGCCGGGTTCTGCAGGCGTGTGGGCTCCCAGAGGACACAGAGAGGTGAGAGAAGGTGCTGTGGAGACACCTTCTGCCCTGTACCATGCTGCTTTTGGAGAGCATCCTCATCCCTTCCCACCCCACCTCCTCTCCTGGAGCCTCACAGACCCCTCTATGCATCTGCATCATTATGCCCCCTCTGGATAAAAATCTGTCTCATGCCAAGGGCGTAAGGCACATCTG